CCCCAAAACCCCAAAACCCCAGCTTGCTCAAATCATATTCAAATCATTAATCTTGAAAATTAAATTAAAGCATATTAGGAATTACTACTGCATAATAATTAATTATAAAATCTTTATTCAACTCAATAATAAATTGATCAAAAATGAATAATACAGAAAGTGAATCATAAAAAATAAGGAATTTTCTCCTTATTAATTGCATGCTCCAACCAGAAGCAATCAATAACGTTATCCCTATATTAGAAGAAGCAGGGATTGATTCCCTCGAATTCTTACTCGAGAGTGAACAAGAATTACTTGAAGGAGTGGATATAAAACCTCATGTTGCTCTTAAAATCACATCTGCAGCAGTATCATACAAGTAATAAGTATTAAAAGAACCTGACATATCGCAAAACTAATATATTTAACAATCAGCTCCATTAATGAAATCTTAAGATAAACCAAACTACTATGGAGGAAACTAAAAGCCTTATAGTAATCAAATAGAATAACCAAAGGCAATACCTCAAACTCAGGTCAGAGAAAAATTTGTTGCCCCTTCAAGTCTTTAATACATTTAGCCAAGAAGTATTCAATAATAAGGTACGGCCTAGTACCTGATCTATGAAAGTTTCTAAGATAAGGGATCAGAATACAAGATGAGCAAGACTCGCTTAAACGAGAATGATTTCATAGGGTTGATCTCAAATATTAAGGCCAAAGATAAGGCCAAATTACAAGTTGTTGGATACTATGGTGACTTCAATCAATGCTTGATATATGCTTAGGCGTTTTTGCAGGCTGAAAATATGCCGAATCCACTCATAAAATTTGACGAAGGTTTAATTGCTTTCAAAAACAAAGATAAAATAGCTTTTATCTACAAGATAGATCCAACGGTCTATTTCCTTAGGGAATAGCAAAGAAATGCTGTCGAATCATCTCAAGTTTCAACATATATAAGATATATCATAGATGCTTGTGAAATAGTTATCATTGTGCCACCCAAGGGATTAAGAGTAAGAAATGATAACACAACTCCATATTAGGAACAAATGAATTCAGGGTATATTTTAGAAGAAGTTTAATTCAGCCAAGATGATTCTAATAGGATTTAGAAGATTTCAGGGGCAATAGGATTAATAAGAAACTTAAATCTGAAACAATATAATGCTTTTAAAGACAATTCTAAGCATTTTCCGAGTGCTTAATTTAAATATGCGGGTAAAAAAGAATTGATTCAAATTAAATTCTCTAATGACATCATTAATGGATAAAAGTGGTGGTAAACAAATTATTATTCCTATGAATAGCTAAAAAGTGAGGTTATTGCTATCTGGCCATTATTTAGTTAAAAGTTTCAAAATATTAAACATGGTTAAAATTTAAAATCTAATATAGACTTTCTATTGAGGGGATTTGTCCCAAAAAACAAGATTAATGATTTTGAAAAAATTGCCTAAAAATCATATGATTAATACATTAAAGAATATGTATAATTAGAGGATGAAATAAAAAAAGAGGAATCATAAGTGTTTGAAAAATTATTCAAGGAATTCTTTGAAAAATTGTAGGAATTTTCTTGTAGTGTTTTCGTAAAAAATAAAGAAGAAATAAAGCAAGAAAATGATGCTAAGAAATCATCTTGGCTACCAAATATTTTCGGAGGGTAAAAAAAAGCGGATTGTACAAAAAAATGCGGATTATATGATTTTAAGAAATTTTAACTGAACTTTAAAAAATATATAATTAAGATAGAAAATACATAGGAAGGAGGAAGTAAATTGATGTCAATAAATTGGGAATTATTTGAGAAGTGTTACCGATAATTCTATGGAGAAGATGATAAGAATAATTCATTTACTCTTCATCAAAACCAATAATAAAATATAACAGTACTCATTGAGAAACTTCAATAAGATTTTTTGAGCTATAATAAGCAATAGATTGCCAAATTTTTAGATTTACGAAAAAAAACAATAAATAATGTCTTCAAGGATATTGAACCATTAATTAACAAATATAGGAATAATTAGGAGATAACAGTAGAGATCAGATTTATTTCAGCTAATGTAATGGTAGACACCTTAAAATAGGAATTGGACTGGTCAGTTCAAAACTCATAAATCAACGTCCTCAAGTATCAGTTTGACAACTCTGAGGAACATGGCAATAATATAGTTATGTCTTAGATGCATTTCATTACAGAATAGTCTGGCTTCATAGTTTTCTAAGATTCCCCTTAAGATAAATCAACTCTATACTTCTTCAACTATATGAAGAGAGATTCTGAGGTATTTAAAAAACTTTCGATTTAACTGGATAAAAATTCCTTATTTGCATTTGATTCTGATACCAAGAGAATCTTTTATTGCGATAACAAAGATAAAATAGCTGCACTTTCTACTTTTGATAAGGAAGGAAATATACTTGAGACTAATGAAATATAACTCTATAACCAAAATATTGAAAACTAAAGTATTCAAAATATAGTAGATGCAATTATATTACCAAAACATAATAAAGTAATAATTCTAAATGAGAAAAATTTTATTTTTGAACTTTGCTTGTAAGATAAGAAATATTATATTACGATAGCATTTTCAAAGGGCAATGCTTATTAAGGAGAATTAAAAAAATTTTATGTACAACCATAAAATGGAGGTAATAAATTCTTTAAAATTTAGTCTACTTCAGATGGCAGCAAAATTGCTCTATAAACTGAAAACAGCCTAGATATATTTGATAATAATTGGGAAAGAATAAAAGCATTACCATTGAAAAAAGACTTTATATTTTTCAAAATATTTGCTGATAAAATGCATCATTTTGTCATAATTTTCCATTAAGGATCAACAGAATGTTTTTAGATTGGCTTTTTAGCAAAGAAATCACTTAGCTATAAACATGAAGAATACAGAAATACAAGAGGAGAAGGTAATCCTATCCTAAATTTTTTGTATGATGCTTTTAAGAAATACGGACCACATTCTGATTTTCTTGGATGTCCATCAAAAACTCAAGTAATTTTTTCAGATGAAAATAATCCATAAAATGCTACTATTTTGGCAAGTTACTTTAAATTGCTAAATATTAAGAGTTCTGTAAACTTTTAAATAGAAAAGCCCGAGAAGCTTAAGTAGCCTAATTTTATTAATAATTGGCTATCGATCATAGACCCAATCGTATTAGAAATGATTTTACTTAGCAGAGTTCCCTTACATCTGGCAACGATCGAAAATTCTACTCTTATTCCTCTATAAAATGGCAAAAATATTTCTGAGATAATTGCAGAGAATAAGAGAGCAGATAAGGGTGGTAAATAATTCGGAGTAAAAGATGTGATACCACTGGTCGAGTTCGGACTCTATGAAAAGTTAATGGCTAGTATTTAGTAATCCATGAAAGTAGTTTGCATTGTTGGTAGATAAAGTTCTGGAAAGAGTTATGGTTTAAACAGAATCTTTGGTACTAGATTTAATGTAGCTGCAACTAGATGTACTGATGGTATCTGGATGTCTGTAGTAGCTGTATACTATGAAAAGTAAAAGCCTTAATACTTCTTAGTAATGGACTGTGAGGGTTTATTTTCTGAGAGAAGAAACGAAGATGAGGAGATTAAGCTTTGTCTTGTACTCTCAGCAATATCAGATATGATGATCCTTAATTAGGATTTGTCTTTCAATAGAAATCTAAACTAGCTATTTCACAAATTCAGTGAGAATGCTGGAAGAATTCAGGGCGATAAATTGTTCAAAGGAAAACTTATGATGCTTATAAGAGATGTTAGAGCTGATGAAGCCGGACCAGCATATTAAGAGCTAAAATCAAATATGGAATAATTGTAAATAAGCAAGCAAGATAAATTTTTTGGAGCTGTTTTCTAAGGTTAATTAATAGGTTAATGCCTTAGTTATTTCTAGCAAAAGATATTCAATCAAGAGATCTAATTTGTTAGGGAACATTACTTCTTGTCTAGTTAGTATTTATTACAGAATAGATGGGATAATGGTAAAGACTTAGTCGATAGTCTTAAAGTAGTTCTCACTCAGGTTTTTCTTAATGATGGATCTAATATTGACGACAGAAAATTCAATCTTTAATGCGAGGATTTTCGTAAAAGCTGCTAAGAATCCTTTTATAGTGGAGGTGAATTTCTTAAGGTAAAGGACTTAAAAAATCTTTCCACAATTAAAATACAATTAGAAATAGAAGGTAAGATGATTAATTTTGAAGTGGATCAAAGTGAAATATAACTTGATGAGATTGAGAAAAATTCCTAATAACCCTAAATATCTGAAAGGGTATTTCAAGTTTTTGAAAACTTTGCTGGTAAAAAGACTGATGAAAATTAAGTCACTTGGCATAAAGCACTGGTTAAGTTTATAGATAGTCTACTTGATCACAGAGCAAAATTAGTAATGGAAATATTCTTGTAAAAAATGCCTAATGATGGGAAGTTTGAAAACACTGTGATTTTAAATAAATCAGAATTGGAAGAATTTACCAAGACTTACTTGGAGGAAATGAAATTTTGCAATAAATTGTGCAAGAATTGCAAGAGGACCTGCGCGCTTAAGAACAAGCATTCGGTAAATTGCAAATGTAAGACAAATCATAAGTGCTATAAAGTCTGCCAAAAATCAAAGAATTGCAGGGATCAGGGTTTTAAATGCGATATAAATTTTGGACATGATGGGGAGCACTCATGCTCTGACGGAAATCATAACTGTATCGAGTAATGTTAAATTCCTGAGTGTACGTTTATCTGTTAGCATGAAATTGGACATGCTGATAAACACAAATGTGGAAACTAACATGCTTGTCCAAAGAAATGCTAAGATTCAAAATGTGAGAGAACTTGTATGTTTGAATACGATGCACCCCATGATTAGCATCTTTGTGGAGAAGAAAAATGCATTCATTAGTGCTCACTTTGTGATAGAAGGTGTATGTTCCCTAATCATCTCCACTAAGAGTTAATTTAGAAAAAAGATTCAAAGAATTTAGAATTTAGATAAGAAGATGGAAAAGTTGAGTAGCTGAACTTTCATATCTGCGAAAATGATCATTAATGCAAAAATGAATGCTAAATTAATGGTGTATGTGATAAGAAGTATGAGAGTATTGAAGGTACTTGGAAAAATGAAAAGGGAGAAACAAAATACAAATAATTCAAGCAAAAGGTAGGGAAAAATCAATGCTAAATAAGAATCTAAAAATATAAACAATAACACAATGGGTCCCATAATTGTGGAAAACCAAAACATGATTGCGATTAAAAGTGTCCAGAATGCTCTGGTTTGTGCTCTAAAGAGTATGGTCATTAAGGACTTCATAGTACAAATTCACATGTGAATAAAATGAACTGCGTAATGATTTCCAAAAACAATGAGGATAAAATTTTGATTAATGAAAATGGAAATATAAGAGAGTACAAGCAAGGTGGCATTTGCGAAGCTGAATAATGTTCTTTATCCTGCCAAAGGAGAGGTAGATCTCATGTTCATTTGAAGAAATGCTAAGGTGGTGATCAATGCTAAGAAGTAAAAAACAAAGCAGTTGCCAAGCATTCAACTTAAGAGTATGCAAAGTTTAAAGGTCAAAAATTTGATGAAATGCTTTGCTAAAGCTACTGGAATTCATTGGGTTGGGAGCTACCCCTTGATGAGAGTTAACTTAAACTTGTTCATAGTTGCAATTATCAGTGCACACATGAATCTCATGCAGAAGATAAATAGTATTGTGATCAGTAGAAGTGGCATGATGGAAAGCACTCTTTCAAGTGTGAGCACGCTGATAAAATTGAAGAAGATGTTAGCGCACAAGATTATGAAGTCATAGCGTGACGACTAACTCAACACAAACTAATTATTGATTGAAATCTTAAGCACTAATTTTAATCTTTATTTCATAAATTTAATTTATTATATTTTATTTATCTCAACTTTACTCAATTTTAAGATGCATGGGGTTTTGGGGTTTTGGGG